TTTATGACGTGCATATATATTTTTTGTATAAATTATATTTAAAACAATATTTTTTTAGAAGAGATTTATTTTGAGCTATAATATATAGTGTTATGAAATCAAGGAAGTAAGACGTAACAGAGAAAATAGAATACATTACAAAATTATTAATTATATTTTATTTTATAAATATTGTCTAGATATAATTTTCCGTGCAAAGATTCAGTCTCAATACTCTAGTTCGATACTGATTAACTTCTTTTCAGTTCAGTATGCTAAAAATTAGACACAAATAATTGTCCGTTAAAGTTAAACTAGGTTAAATCAATTTTATAAATTTGTTTCTAGTAAGCTTGTGCCATCTGACGTAAGCTCTTAGAAGTCAATAATCAAGCAAACGAAAACTTTTTACTAAGGATGTCTTGATAGTATTGAAATATTAATATGTCTTCTATTCACTATTGATATTGATCATTTGTTGCATTAATTTATTTATTTATAATTTTAATAATAATAGACACGAATGATAGCGAATAAAACTGTAAATTACTGTAAATTATGAATTATAATCGATATATTTATATGGATTACAAATCTTAGATAAAAATATAGTTTTCTTACCATAAAAACTTAATACTGTTTTGGTTGTATCTCTGTGTGCCGCAAGTGAAATGATAATCGTTCTATTTATGTCTTATTCAGCAAGTTGAGAATTGAAAAAAAAGTAGAGAGCAATAAATTACATAGAAATAGAGAGCAATAAATTATATAATATTGAAATATTTACAAATTTAACAATAATAAAGATGATGTGTAAAAACTAAGACAGAATTAAATATGTAACTTTTATCAATTCACGAATGTAAAAAAGATGATTAGAAAAAAGAAGAACAATTTAGAAATATAGAGTACAACCTTTTTACAAATTTACGTAGTTTATCAGTAATTTCCATTGGCGTGTCCAAGGAATAATTAATTGTATGAATAATAATTCGCATTATATTTTTTTTATTATTTTAGATATATTTACATCATATCGAAATAGATGAAAGAAATATATTTAAAATTTCTTTCAGCAGGGCATTGAACAGATTTATTCAACATCGAATTTCAACAAGATGATAATTTAATAAACTAAGCTCTTAATTAATGATTAAATGTTTGCATTCTGAGAACATTATTGATAAGAGAGGTTTAGAATCAGCGACATTTTTTGTGATTATGAAATATGCGTCGTGGAAAACTATGATGGGAGCTGTCTTATAAACAGTCAATTCTTTCGCAAAGGATTCCGAAACGTCCTCTTATATGCTAACGATGGCTTTTAATGTATCGATTTAGTCAAACCTACTCTCGCGAGTAGATTGAAAACTTTTGATGATAATCATTGTTGTGCATATTCAAGAAACCATGGCCTGCTTTTGTACTACGCGAAATACTTGGAAATGCGTTTATCTAGGGACTAGAAAATTATATGAATAATGCTTAATAATAAAATAATAATAAGATAATGATAAAATAATAATAATTTTCCTATAAAATATGAAAAATAAAATTGTGAAAAGTTTAAATATTTTGAGATATTTGCTATAATCAAAATTAATAATACTTAAAGTAATATATTACTTTCAAGCATGTTTTCGTTTTCTATATAATATATAATATTAATAATTTAAATAAAAAATATTTTCAAGAATTTTTAAAGAATAGCCGATTCTAAACATTCGTTACGCGATTTATATACATATAACTTGATTATGTTAATACATAGCTTATTGAATTGCTACAAATCGAAAATGAATGCATTATCGGTGGTATCAGTATGGTGCGTTCCAATTCCTTTCCTGATGCCGAATCCGGGTTACGTTGCTGACAAGAGCGTTTCGCGATACGATACATTAGCATAACACGAATATATACGCGAGACCGCGATAGCGAGTAGAAAGGAAGCGAACGGTCGACCGGCTGACCAACCACAGGTACGCCTTCAGCGGTGGTTGCTTGCCATAAGTCGTGCAAGTCATGCACGATGGATCAGGAGAGAGAAGTCAGTCATACCGACGCCGTGCTACCATTCGCGTCAGTGATTGGTCGAGTCTACGAAAGCTCTTTTTTGATTATATCAAACCCGATCGCTCGCCACGCAAATATATACGTACAAACGAGCGCGCGAAACTGACTTAGACGAAGGGCCGTAAATTTGCGGAAAAGCTCGTGGAATATACTACGTATGTGATATCGTCAGATTGATTTCTCCGTTACGTGACGACGGGTGGATAGAGGAAATGATTAGTGTGAGAGTAAAAGTGGCTTGAAAGGGATCTTTGATTTGATAATGAATGGTTGATTTGTTTAACTGGATAGCGTTTTAAATAGTATGAGTGAGTGTAGTGTTTTAAAGAAAGAGAATAGAGAAAGTGAGAGAAGAATAGAATTTTAGAAAAATATAGAAAAAAATAGCCTTGATCTGATTTGGCACTTCCTTATATAGTTAGAAGAGAAGATTGTTGTATGAATAGCTAGTTAAAATTTAACTGTTGCTGAACACAAGAAGGAAACACGTATGTGTAAAATAGAACAGATGATAGAACAGCATAAGTTTGAGATAGAATAGATGATTCCAAAAATGATTTTTTATGAACGAATCCATTTTTCATTTCATTGAGTAGTAAATAGTACTTTAAAATAGTACTTGAAATATTTAAGAGATCCTTTTAATCGATTATTTGCTCGAGTGTTTATCGGACTATATCAAAGAGTTGATAGATCTCTTTGTGGAACTCGTTTTCATCAGTTTGGAAGAGAGAGAGAGAGAGAGAGAGAGAGAGAGAGAGAGAGAGAGAGAGAGAGAGAGGAGCACTCTAAATGAAAAAACTTTTTGTTTGTTGTTTTTATTCTGAATAGAGTGAAGCAATTCTTAACTTTGAACAAATCATATAAACAACTCCACACTGGTGGTTTAACGATGTAAAACCGTGAAATTAACGAAATCAAATCGTCCTAGTTGTGCAAAGTTAGTGAACAGTTTATCTTTTTAAAGCGTACTATGACTATAACGATCGAAGGTTAAGTTACGAGTTCCACTTACGGAGTGCAGTTAACGCAGATGACTTTGTACTACTTATCTATAGATTTAATTTCTTATGCTCTATTTTTTAAAAATATAATATAAATGTTTGATCTTACTTAACATTAGAATTTTCTTTCGTACTGAAAATCATATGTAACGTTTATATTTTACAAGCGTTTTCAAAATACAAATTGCTAATTAATTTAAATAAAATACATAAGTATTATATATTGTATTTAATTAAATTTAATGTTTAAATTATTGATTTATTTTTATATAGGCAATATACTTGAATCACTACTATTTTGAATCACCAATTAATTTTAACAAATTGTTGATGACCTTTTAAGTCATTATACATTTACAGCCTCATATTGATGATTAATGATTTATCTTATTTTGCATCTAGAAATTAATTAGAATTATTATATTACGAACTCTTCGCACATTGCGTTTAGTTTTTTAACTTTGTAAAACTTTGTTTGAACTTAAAAATATTGCGTTTTTCTTCTAAGTAATTTTACTTTATTTTTAGACATCTTTGATGTGAAATGCATAGAATAATTGCGTTCGTCTTTGAATCGGGGTTAGCGTGCCAGGTGAACCTCATTTTCTGGTATTGACCAGATGGTCGTAGTGCTTTGTGATACCGCCATCTTGTAACTATTCCTGGAAGCGTATTAGCGATTTTATTTTCCTTCTGGTAGATCAGAAAAATTTAGATGATTTTTTTTATTTTGTTAGTTCGCAATGTTTATCGTTAACGATGTATATTTCTATAATCATTGAACCTTCTTAGCATAAAAGAGAAATTTAAAATATATTTCGATTCCCTAACAGAAGAATTGCCGCGAAGGTTTAATACGATTTTGTAGATGAAACACATTTATCTTCCGTGATCAAATACAGTGGTTACAAGCGAACTTAGGATAAATTGGCTTATTGCCAATTCGATCGGGCTAAGTCCGTCCATATGTTTTACTCTCGTTGTTACAAGCTTGCCAATTATCGGCATGCTCATTCTAGAGGCTTTTTCCTTTATTCTTGATTTATTCGACAATTGAGTATTTTATCTTCATCATCACGTGTTTAATCACGTGTTAATGTTGTTATCATCACTCAGCAGTTTGCGCTTAAACTATATGAATATTTCAGGAATGATATAATGAGTATAAAAAGTAATTGATTGTTATCATCATTAATATGATTACAATATTTGGCGCATTGTTTATTTAATTGAAAATGTTTCTTTTTGTATAAGAAGAAAGAATTTTTTAATTTTTAATTTAATATCTACTATGGTAAATATTAATTTAATTTAATGACACAAGGCAGGCTCAAACTCTGAAAATAATTTCCCTCCAATTTATTAACTTCTCCAAAATTCTTCTAGTTTATTTTGTGTGCGTGCGTGCGTGTGTGTGCGTGCGTACGTGCGTGCGTGTGCATGTGTGTGTGTGTGTGTGTGTGTGTGTGTGTATGTGTGTGTATGTGTGTGTGTTTTTTTTTATTTTAATATTTGTATTCAATTTTAATGTCTCTTGTTGAAATAGAAAAACAAAATGTTGGCAGAAGAATGCTTGTGTTTAAAAAATTTCCTTTCGACATTTCTGTAGTTTTTCTCAAATTTATTCAAGACTTGATGCAATAAAACAATGTTTTAAAATACTTAAAATGAAATACAGTAAGTTGATATATTAATGCCTGAGTAGAAGAAAAAAGCGAGAAAACATGAGGAAAAGTTAAAAATTGTTTACGAATAAAATCATTATTCGTGCGTAGCTACGGAAGGTTATCAGATTGGCGTATTGGTTTGCTTGTGCCAGCTAATCGGGGTTATCCTACTGCCCCTATTCACTCCAAGTTTTACGCCCCGATCCTTCTTGACCCTTGTATTTGTCGATTCTCTGGCGTCTTGTAGTCTGCAGTGCTGCCACCGATTGCTTCCTTTGAAAATCAGAAAACGTACGTAAAGAGAGAAAGGTAAAAGGGGAGTTTGTAATGGTAATAGAATTGAAGGTGTGTGTGTGTGTGTGTGTGTGTGTGTGTGTGTGTGTGTGTGTGTGTGTGTGTGTGTGTGTGTGTGTGTGTG